AATCTTGAGCATCTAAAATACATATATTTCTAATGAAGACAAACTATATAAAGTCCAAGTCAAAGTTAAAATACCATTTAAGCTGCAAAATTTTCTGTTTGGTTTAGTTCGAGTGATAATTTTGTTATATCTTCTTGATGATATTCTGTTTTCCCTTTTGAAAATATTGATAAACGATTTGCTTGCCTAGAGTGTATCCCAATTTAATTCTCTTGCTGTTTGAATTACATAAAGTTCAAGATCAGCATCATGAACGGCTTCTTTTTCAATTGTTCTTCTCAGATAAAATTCATTAAACATAAATTCTTTAATTTTTTCGATCTTATGCCGTTGTTTGCGATATATTGTCCAAATCTTTTAATATAAGTCATGAACTTGATCTTTTTAAATCGATTGAAAATAGGTGCAAATCTGGCATTTGGATGTTGGTCAACCCATTCGATAATATTTTTTATTTCTTCTAATGTAAAACGATTTTTTAAATCAGAATGATTATTCTCACCATAATCATTCATTTCATTGTATTCATCTTCAAATTTGAGAGTATCATAAGTATACAGCTCACTCAAGTAGCTGTCTTTAAATCATTTTAGAACTTCGAATCATTGTTCTGCAGCAAAAATTTTATCAGTAGTTGTTGCAGAATTTTCAGGTCCATATTCAGTTCGAGTTAAATGGAGATGTTTAGCATATACGTCATTTTTAAAACACATCATATACCTTTTCTTTTCATTTCTACAGCACCTAAATTGTAGACGACATCGAAACTAATGAGATCTTAATGCTATTGATGAATTTCAGAAAACTCTTGTAGTCTATCATTGAAATATTCAGTTGATTGCATAAAAAATTCATGTAAATAATCCTAATGTTCCTACATACTCAAACTGTGAGTACCGTAAAAATCCAATATCTCCCTCTAGATAAGCCAGCAGCTGCTAATATTTTAACCTTGTTAGTTTGGTGGTGAGAGTTTTCATTTGATCCGAATATGTGCCATCACTTTAACTGACAACACAAATACGTCCATTGTAAGCAGAACGATAAGAACTAATTTCTGTACTTTTCATTTGCATTTAAAGTATCTTTGAAAAATTAAAAATTAAACTTTATTTTTATTGTGAGCAAAAAACACTCGTCGAAGAATTTTTATTTTATTTTGTTAGAAGCAATAATACAAAAAAAAAGACATAAGACACGTATATAGTAAAGGACAGAAGTGAGAAAAATACACACATCTATACTACGCACTACTTAACCACACAAAAATTTTTGGAATATTTATTGTGAAAAAGTAAGAAAAAAAGATTTTTTTGAGCCATGCTTATTCTATCTAATCCCCATAGTAAAAAAAGAAAGCATTACACACAGATTTATGATGTGTAAATTGGTAATAAATCTCGTTGAGTTTCATGATTACCATGTTTTCCAGTAAAACTTTGATTACATGGAAATATAACTTTTTCATGTGTGTCCATATTAATAATTTCAACTTTATCAAGAAACCAATCAGATAAAAACATAGAATTATGATATTCAATATGTAATTTAGTTAATTTACCTATATTCATAAACATTCACTTAAAAAAAATTGAAAAGATTTTTTCGTTACCTAATTCTAAACATTCAATAATAAGTTCCTCAACAGCACCATGTTCAAATAAATTGTGACCTTTTTGTTTTAATAGTATATTACTAGTATTACCACGAGTACCATAAAGTATAATTGATACATTAGCATCTGTATTAGCACCTGATACATAACCTGTATGAACAATAATTTTATAGTTAATTGTACGACGATAATATTCTTCTACAGTAGAATATTCTTTTTTATTGACGCAATCAAAAACATCACCGTCATTATTAAGAGCAATCCATTGTCGTACTGGAAATTCATATCTACATTTTTTTTAAAAACAAATCAAATATTTTTTTTTTTATTAAATAATGAATTGTTACTTGATGCCTGTTGATAGATCAGTTATTGTAATATGTGAAACATGCCACATAGCTTCATCACCTTCATATGTTTTCAGTGGATACTCATGTTGTCCTTCATGACCCAAAATAATGCGACGTAATTCACCAAGAGGTTGGCACTCAAAGGTAAACGTATCCATTTGTCCGCTATACATTTTATGTCAATTAATAATATGTTTAACAAAAATTTTCCTTACCGTCGTAGAATTTGATTATTTTGTGTATTTTTCATGAATAATTTCTCTGATCTTGTTTTATTTCCTTGAATAATAATCCATCCGTGTTGTGTTGTTCCAGCATATTGTATATCTGAAGTAGTA